GGGCTGTGGGGAGCTGGAGGCCAGCCCTGCTGCAGCGTTGCTGCAGGGACCGACGGCCCGCGGGGCTGACATGGGGTCCTGGGCAGGGTGCAGGGGCCCTGGCGGAGGCCAGGCTGGGCCAGTGAGTCCTGGTGGTGCCCTCCTCAGGGCCTGACAGGCTCTTTATGTCAGCGGCCCGTGCCCCTTCTCCTGTCACCCTGTCCCTGTTCTCCTCTGCGCTGCGCCCTGACTCGCCATGTCTCAAGGCGCCTGCTGTCACACCCGGCCTGTATTTCTCCACAGTCATAAATACCTCATCCTACATGGAATGACTGCTGGGTACTGTTGTCTGTTTAAAACTGCGGCTGTACCGCACAGAGGTAAACAGAAGTAGAACAAACTGGGCACAGACACCCGGTTGCCTAGCGAAGGTGCCGCCGCAGCGGCAGCAGGTAGGAGCAAGCCCTGCGGCCCCAGCGCAGAGCTGTCTCCTGCGCTGCTGGCTACGCAGTTACGTGGCACTGGGGTTTGGTTTTGTGCTTAATCTCTTCTTGACCAAGTGAGGAATAGGCCCCTGTGAGCTCTGTGCAGTTAATCTGTTTTTAAAAGATGTTATTGTGCTGACATCGTTCCCTTCCCTCCTCCTCTAATTCAGAGACTTTAGTTGGAATGAAGTGTAATTAATTTCTGAAATGAGAGAGGAATTGTGTTTAATGAAAACAGACAGCTTTTGTTTGTTTGGCCTGGTACTCTTCTTGCCTAATTGCTGGCAGAACAGCAGCTAAATTCACAGCAGCCAGAGAAACAAAACCATTTCTGTTGAACGCAATCAGTTTGTATTAGTTCAGCAAGGCATTTACCTCGCTGTTTGCTGATCAGTCACAAGCTGTTCAGTTTTCCTGCGTTTCTGTCCTCCTCTTCTTCCTGCCCTCTCACTCCGTGGCTCAGCCCAGAGCAGAGAAATGGGACCGACATTTTCTGACTGGGACAGGCAGTACGACTAAAGCACTGTGCTGTTTTATCAAGGCCTGATTTTCCACATATGCTTTTCTAAAATACTGTCTCACTGGGTTTTATAATGAAGTTCAGCTAGGGAGATAGCTTTTGGGTGTTTAAGTTACTTTAAAAGTCACTCTCCGACAACTGTTTTGTCACTTTGAAAAGGTGCAGATTATTCCCATCCCTGGCGATACCAGGAAACCTGCAGCATTTCCACAGGGACCAGACACAGCTCACAGGCACTTGCTCAGGGAGGGATGTTTAGTCTCTTACAAAGGAAGGAACAGCGTGGGACCAGGGGTCTGCAATAAGAAACTAGAGACAATAAAACTTATTTAAGAAAGACTGTGACGTAGTGCTACAGAGGTAAGGTGTTAGCCAAGACAGCTCCTTTTCCATGCCGTCCTTCTAACTGGCAATACGAGACATTCCTCACATGGTTTAGAGAACCTGTTATTTTTATCACTGCTCACTGGGCTTTATAAACCAAAAATGTAAGGAGAATCAGCTCAAGAAAAAATGCAAACTCCTGTGGACTACAGTTCTGGAAACTTTCACTGCTGTCCAAAGATTTTCTGAATAGTCTGGCACAAATTCTGATCTCAGTTGCTCTGCTGTAAATCCAGAATAATTCTGTCACCTTAAACTCAAGTTCCAGGGAGATTAAAAATATCTGTTAGTCAGAAAGCCATCTCACCAGCTTGAGATTGCCAAAGCTGAGCAAGCAGGCCAGCTACTGCCTGCTCACCACAGCACTGACGAGGGTCCCCTGCCTTCTCTCCCAGCCCATGGAGGAATACAGCTGAGGAGGAAAGAAGAGGTGATGAGAAGGGGCCTGAAAGCTGGATGTCCCTGCCTTTGCCAGTGATTTCACTGGAACGATTTTCTGGGGTCGACAGCATGTAGGTGCATTTAAAAGCAGCCTCAGCTATGTGAGCTACCACTTTTACAGCAGAAAAGAGCTGTTTAGTTTTCAGGAGAATCTTCGGGAGAAAAATTGCATTTTTTTGCCTGGGCAAAGAGCAGAGGACCTGTTTTTTGGACCTCAGCTTGTTGGCTGCCCTCTTGGAATGAGGTGGGCACCTCAGAGGGTGTTCAGAGCTCCTTGGCTTATACCAGTGCTCTGCCTGGTCCCCTGGATGTACCTATTCTTACTCACAGACTGTGGGTTCAGGGCCTGAAGTTCAGAGGTGCAAATACCAGTCCCCTTGATAATCAGGATTTATAATTAACTTCTGGGAAAACACATAAAATACATTTTTCCTTTGATTCGCAAATTGATTTGAGGTCAGTAGAGTGGCAGTGCAGAATGTAAAAGCTGGAAGTGATTCCCTGATATGGCTTCATTGTCATTATCATGCATCGGACCCTTCAGATAAAGTAATAGAAAGTCATCAGTATACCTCTTTACTGCTTTAGGGACTCAGAGCTGCATCTCCTGTTAGTGGCCTGTCTGGCTGCATTGATGTATGGGTATGATGGGACATGTGCTTGTTCTTGAGAAGTGCCACTGAAAAATCACTAGAATCTTCATGGCCAGAGCAAGAAATTCACAAATACCTTTTTTTTTTTTCTCCCCTGCAGTTTTTAGTGCTGGCAAAAATTTCATAGCTATCACTGGTGAGCACCTTACCTGTCCCTTTCATACTAAAGGGGTCTTTTTTGGAAGCATAGGCCCAGATTGTACCAAAGCTGTGGTTCATAGAGAAGACCTGTTTCATCCTAATATCCTGTGACAGTAGCATGTGTGTGTGTCTTCTGTGCTGATCATCCGATCCTTCCTTTGAGCTCTCATAAATCATGAGCTTGTGCCAATTACTGTGATGGCTCTTTGCCCCTCTTATAACTAAGTAAAATAGTTACTCCTTTTGTTATTTAGCATCTCTTGTGAGATTATAATTTTATCTGGATATCAGATCCCAACACGTTTATGATCTGATGTTTTTCTTTTTCTCTTTTCGATGACTAGGTTCGAGATGGTGACAGTGAGATGTCTTCTCTTATTGAAAAATTCTGTCATAGTACACTCATGTCTCCAATCACTTCTGCCAGCAACAGTCTCTGGATCAAGTTCAAGTCTGATGCTTCTGTGCAAAGGGCTAGCTTCAGGGCCATTTATCAAGTTGGTAAGAGGAACTGGTGACTTGCACAGTGAACTGATCTGTAATTTGGACACTTTCAGTCATTTCCTTGCTGTATTATCCATATAATGGGTTTAAGACAAACTTCAAAAGAAGGAAGGAAAAAAATAGAGTATTTATTTATTTATTGCTACTTTTAGAAATGCTAAGATGATGTCTGTTGTAGGTACTCCTAGCATGCTTGGAAATGCACCCCTCATTGCTTCTATTAATGATAAATCACTTGCTGCTAACATACCAAAGATGATGTAGCTATAACTCTGCCTAAATCTTTTTACTTTCATTTTTCCTGTCTTTTAGTTTTTAATCACCAACAAATCTATCTGTGTCTGTGAAGCGAGTCCATTAGTTTTCATGGGCACAGTTAGATTGGTCTTCTGTATATACATGTTTATGTTGTAGCAATATGTTCTTTTAAATACGTTCTTAATACTACTTGGATGATCTGTAGTAGATGCTGTAAGAAGATAGGTTTTTAAGGGTGTTTTCTTCTAATTTCATAGAGCTATTTGATAGACCTCACATTATACATTCCTTGAAACCATTCATCACAAGTACTGATTCTTGTTATCTCTTGGCAGCCTGTGGAGGCTCCTTGTCTGGAGCAGGCACTATCCATTCACCTTACTACCCCAGAATGTCCCCTCACCCAAAGACTTGTGAGTGGATCATCTCCCAGCCAGCTAGCAAAGTGGTGATTCTTAACTTTATTGACTTTGACATTCAAAATATAGCCACTTGTGACTCCGACTACATTGAGGTAAAGAATTACACACATATACTGTGAATAGTAGATAGATTCTTATCCGTATGTTCCTCATACTCATCTCCACCAAAGCAGAAGTGCTTGACGGGCAAGCACTTCTTACAGCAGTTATAAAAGCTTTTCCAGGTTCATAATGAGATTCCAAACCTTTTCTTGGTTCTCCAAAGATGATATGATCATTTTGATAATCAGAGATGAGTATCAGGTGTCTTTAAATACACAAGAGCTGGGTTTGGAGGTTTATGTGCCACTTAACTGTTGAGGGTGTAAGATCTCAGCTTTTCTCCATCTGACATGCTTTGTGTGGGAGACTGCTTCTCTGGCAGTCATAAGGTTGCACTGTATGTGCCTGTAGTAGAAACCATACTGAAGGAAGGGTAGCGTTTGACTTACTAAGGATCTCTTTTATATGGTTCTTAATTAATTAATTTATGCTTACTACTTTAATATAATAGGAATTTGTATGGGATATTTTGAATACACTGTTCTTCAGGTCAGAGATGGCAACAACTCAGACTCTCCTCTTTTGGAGAAATACTGTGGTACAGCTGTACCATCTAGAGTGCAATCTACACGGAACAATCTCTATATCAAATTCAGAGCTTCCTCTCTTACCAACCTTGGCTTCAGAGCTGAGTACTGGCCATTAGATACAGGTAAGGAATTTTTTGTTGTTTTCTGTGTAGAGCTTTGAGACTTTCCAAATTTTCCTGTACACTGAAAACAGTTGGCTATCAAGTTTTATGATGGTGTAATGGGAGATAAATTCTGAATCAGTTACTGTGTAGTATGCATTGAGGAAAAAAAGACTATGAAATTTCAGAAAGAAAAGTAACCAATTTTATAAGCGCCTAACTTTTTAATAAATATATCATTTAACCTGATGTTTTAAATCTCTACAGTATGTGGAGAGACTCTCACTGGACCAGAAGGAACCATTACAAGTCCTGGTCATCCAGATGTCTACCCACATGGTATTAACTGTACCTGGATTATCAACATTCAACCCGGCTACCTTATCCGCCTGACATTCACTTCATTTAACTTGGCATTTGATTATGGTTGCAGAAAGGATTATCTGGAAATATATGACAACAGCACTGTGCAAAAATTGGGAAGGTGAATATGTCCATTAGCCTACAGAGCTGAATTACTGTAGAGTGAGCACTGTTCTATAGATCTTGACATACAATTTGCATTCTTAAATTTTGTGTATAGATTAATTTCTCTGCATTACAGAAAAAATAACAGCAATTTCACTGCAGCTTTCTTCCTTTGACGATGGGATGAGAGCCACATTTAATAAATACTATACTGGGAGAAACTAATTTGTGTCAAGAGGACAGCTTTTTTAAGGACAGTTTTCAATAGCTGGCATTTTCCAGCTCCATTAACATTTTGATTTGTGGGAAATAAGTTCAAAAGCATTAATATGCCCAGGAAAAGACATGATTTGAAACACTTGCAGAAGTGAAAGAAAGATTACTTAAAAGATTGTGCATTTGGATCTCAGCAAAAACTAAACTAAAGTCTACATTTTATAGGATTTTGTTTTCACTTTCTCCTGATATGTGATTTTATCTTAGGGAAGAATCTTTTCTTTTTTCCCCCTTCACCAATTGGGGTATACACAGGGTTTTCTTGCCATCCTAGTATTCAAGAACATCTTAACTACTTGGGAACAGCACCCAGCTGCAGCTACAGACTGTAAAGTAGCTGGCTGACATGGCAGTATTTTAGAAAATATGGAGCAAATTTCTCTCATATTATAATGGAGAGCATTTTGCAACCTTAGTCTTTGGCCAGCTACTCTGACTCCTACAAAAGAACAGAATGTGTTGTAGGTACAGCATAGAATAATTTCAATAAGAATTTGACAACCTGATGAACAGTTTCTCCTCTGACTTTGCCACACAAGTTAGATTTGTACCCTTGTACACACTAGTGCGCTATTTAGTCCAATGATACAGGGTATATGGCTGGGATCTGTATCATCCAAACGAGAGATTTGTGTACGTGTAACTGTTCAAACTTCTCAGGAAAGCTGAATTCTCTTCCAGTAATACAGACGCTTCATAAAGTACTGCCATTCAATTTGCGGCATCTTTTTCTGCAGGTACTGTGGAAGATCAGTTCCACCATCTCTCACTAGTGGTGGCAATGTGATGACGTTGTACTTTGTGACCAATCCTAGCATTGCATCTGAGGGCTTTTCAACTAATTATATCTCCCTGGATGCATCAAAAGGTAATATGTCAGCCTGTTAATTATGCAAATTAAATGTTTTCAGCTGTCACTGTAAATAATCACTACAAGAAACAGAAACGTTATTTTCTGTGTTAACAGAAGACTGCCTAGTGCCTCTTCCACCCTGCCTTATTTATCCTGCTTTGTTCACAAGCTTTTTCCTCCCTAGGAAAGCAGAAAGCAATTTCTGTAAGCAACACTGCTGTTTTCTTTAAAAAAAACAGTAAGAGCTGACATGGCTCATGAACTACATGAATTATTTAGAAAAAGTATTTTCTGAATTTGCCTTGTCTGTTCTGAACTGAGTATGTGTGATTTAGGAAGATTAGCAATCATGGACAACTCACTTGAATGGGAGACTCTCAGGTGCCATAAAAATTAATTTAGTCTCTATTAAAGTGCCATATCGATGATGGGCAGAGAAAGGTCATATAGGTTGAAATTTGATAAAGCAGCAAAATAAACTGAATGTGCAAGCTATGTTTTCATTACGACAGAGTGCAATGTTTCTGTCTCCAGAAGAGTTCAAGGCTCCTGTTATGCCTTAAATCTGTTCTTTAAGTATCTCCTTTTAAGGGGCCAAGACATACGTCAGGGGGGTAAAGACTACTGAAGAGAAGAATGACCATTCATTCCCTCAGTTCTCTGAAGCAGAGAAAAACTGAGAAGTTGCTCTCAATTCTAATTGATTTGAAGGTTTTCCAGGGTGGGGGCACATCTATGTTTTCAAACTATGCTGAACACACCATACTTAATCCAGTGTTTGCACATCTCTCCAGCACTGAGAGCATTTTAGCAGTGACTGAGCTGCACTTGAAAAAGCAACCTCTTGGTGAAAGACTTGAACTACCAGTTTCATAGACCCAATAGACATGGGTCTGCTATTGCTCCCCTCACTGCTAAACACAGATCTGTAGTAGAAGAGGATTTATGTGGGTAGAGGGACAGGTTCTGCCTAGCAGAATTAAACCACCGAAGAGGTAGAGTGGGACAATGAAAAAAGTAAAAATCAGAATACATTTGTAGCTGTGTTGTCTATCCATCATTAACCAGTTTCTAGCTGGTTTGTGTGTGAGTGCAGGCTACAAGGGATTTATTAGATGAATACCAGAAAATCATAGTACTGATCTATGCAGCCTTAAACTACCAGTGGCTGCTCATTGTTTGCTCGTAGTTTCTTTAATAATTTTATTTTTCCTACTTTCCGAGTTTCTCCGACCTGTTTAAAACCAGCATAGTTTCCAGTTTCTACCTTGTGAAAAATAACTGCTTTCTTGGTGACATCTTGGAAAATTTGGCTATTATTTCATCTCTCAAGCATGTGTGTAGGCGAGACCAGTACAGATTTTGCCACTGTGTTTTTATTCACTACCAGATAACTTATAAATCCAAATAATCCATTCTGCCGTCTCTGCCTTCACTCATACTTGAGTTATCTGGCATGGAAATCAAAAAGTCAGTAAAAACAATTAAAATTTAATGAGAAATAGTCCAAGGAGGAAGTTTCTATTTGTTAGAAAATAATAGGCCAAAAACCAAGTTCTACTTTTAAAAATCTTTCCAAGGAAGACTCTGTAGTTTGATAACTGCATCCTTACTAGTGAGAAATTGTGACATCAGCTTCATAAAGAAAGTCTTTTGTGGGCCTGTTTTTGCAGCTGCCTACTGCAACTTCTGCAAATGTGATTGTTGCTTGTTAATGTGATATTTTTTCTTTTACTTTACCTCAGATTAATATTTCATTGGTAGATTTGATTCCTTCCTAACTGTTCTGATAGAATCTCTTCTCACAGTTCATCAAGATAAAAATATTTTTTACTCAACATTAATATATTTTTCTGTCTCTGTGTAACCCTATCTGTTTCTCTGGTTTTGTTAGTTATCTCATGGCTGATGAACCCCAAGATTTTCTGTCCAGCTTCACTACTCTGCCTTCTCTCTTTCATATTCCCCTCCTTTACCACCACAATGGTGACTGGATTTTTTCATCTTTCGTCCAAAGTGCTGCTGTATGCATCATGTGAGGTTCAAACTTTAACACTGCCCCTGGAATGGTTTCAAACTATGCCTTTAAAAATGCAAGGCTGTCTTCTCTTTAATACTATTAACAACTAGAAACTGTATAAAATGTTTATATGAAATAAGAACTATATAGTATCTTAATCTAAACAGGTATGATTTTCTTTTCCCATAATTTATAACACAGATATCTTTACTACTCTTCAGCTAAACTAGGCTAACTCTCAATTTGTTCTCACTCAGGTTTAGAACTATGATCTCTAGAATAAATGCTTTTTCACTTAAACCACTATAGTTTGCATAACTATGGCAAAGTAGGCGATAACTACTGAAACTGAGCGTAATAACCCTATAGACAACTTGAAACTATAATCTGTTTACTCTAGAGATTTGTTTCTTTTGGTCCCAGCACAAACATAGCAATACTGTAAAGTTGTCAAAAATACTGGATTGCTAACATTCATTTTTGATTAAGAATAAAGTGTTTTGAAGCTGCTATGGCCTGAGAGAAGGCAAACACATGTGTGTATGTGGACCTAGCTGTGAGAAGCCATTCCCTACTTCCCTGAAATCATATCAAGTTCAGTTTTCCCACTGTGAGATGTTTAGGCCTGACATTCATCTTATGTATATCCAGTTACACTAAGGTAGCAAATTGCTGAGCATAATCATATCTGAGAGATTTACCAAAGCTATAGATTTTTTTTTTTTCCTCTACATCTGCTGCCTATTTTCATTTTTTTGCTAAGGAAAATATGGTTCTAATAATGTTCTTGTGCAGTAAGAATCCTTCATATTTTTGAGCTCTGTTTTCTTAGCCAGCTAGAGTGTAACCAATGTCAGAACTGGTCAAAGATGTTCTGGTTCATATTAGATGTTTCAATAGGCTGTTGCCTGGAGTTATTTTACAGAGAATGAACTATTGAAAGATGGACAAGATTATCACCAAAAAAAATAAAAGAAAATAAATAGGAGTAAAAAAAAAAGGATAATTAGGAGTGAAAAAAATGTTTTTATGTAAAACAAAACTAATTTCCTTCTCCATGCATCTTGGCAAACAGTGTTTGTTAGCATGGTTTGTCTGTGATATATTAATTAGTTGAAAAGTAGCCTGAAAATAATGGCAAGGCTATATTTCCTGGTCAAAAGATTTGAATGCCATGAGATACAACCATGGCCATGGTCCATAAAGTGCAAACAATTGATTTAGCAGTCTGCCAGCTAGTAGCTCTGAATAGCTCATATGGCAGGAATACAAATGGAAATCCTTCAGTCAAATATGCCCAGATGATACTCAGTTGTTTAAAATGTATATAGCCCACTTAAACTGTCTGTACCTCAGATGCTTAGTTCTTGGCCGTCTTTCTGTCTTTTAAAGGGGAAAGTCACATGGAAAGCAAGGTAATATTTGGATTTATTTCCTAGAGTCCAGGTCTCAGATACCAGATAGATGAATGTCACTACAGCCATCTAAGTGCTATGATAGATTTTAGGGTTTTCTTTTGCCCATCTTGGCTGCCCACACCACAAAGAACCCATGTAAAATTACTGAAAAACCTTTGAAAGGGCTCAGTCTTTCCTGGAAGCATTGCTCAGGGTCTTGAAAGATCCAGGCCACAATTTTTCAATAGGAATAGCACTAGAGTCAGTGTATGTATTTTATTGTCCTTGACTTTTTCACAAGTAAGTGGGAATTTATTGTTTTACTTTGAATTGGGGTTTTGGGGAGAATTTTTTTCTTTTTTTTCTTTTTTCATTTGTTGGTTTCATTAAAGAGGCTTCATTTCATCCTTTCTCCTGAGAAAAGTCAGCCTTAACAAGGTTTTTAGCAGATTGCCTTCCTGATAAAGTTTTTATTCCTGGTCTTTCTCTGGCTTTGGTGAAAGATAAGATTTTTCCTCCTTATCATCCTGCATTGTGAATGATATTATTTATCAAGAGGGGTAACTTGGTTTTAAATAGCTTAATTGTGTCGTGTATGTTGGCTAACAAAGACTAACTGGAGAAGTCAGAGTTTGAGAAGGGTGAAGAAGGAAAGAAAAACATTTACGAACCTGTGGACTTAAAAGTGCATCTGAAGGTGATGTATGGACTTGTGTGTCTTCTTTATTGATAGCTGAGTACAAGTTGAGATCTCAGTTCCCATCTTGCTGACTGAACCCAGTAATTATTAGGAGGATGTTGCCTGGCTTTTCAGCTGAACGAGCAAAGACAGGAATGGAAAGTAATGCCGGACAAATATGTGCGTGCAGAGATACAGGGCATGGTTGAACGAAGCTGAGCTAAGACAGAAAAAAAAGGTGAAGCCCTGTATGCATCTTGAGCATCTTGCTCAGCTCATCCTGAGCCTCAGGAAAAAGGCTCAGTCAGCTGGCAACTGACAACTTGTTAGGCCACTGTAACTTGGTTATGTTTGATCAGGGTATTAGTCTGCCTGTATATGCCTATATATGTGTATACGACTCTATAGTTTGTGTGTTTATGTGTAGATCAGCAGAAGAGAGTTGGAGATTCTTTTTGAACAGCTGTACCGAGTGTTTCTAAGGAGTTTGGGTCTGATACAGTACAAAGAACCTTTGTGTGCCTTCTTGGTAGAAGTTAAGCCTGTTAGCATCTGCCAGCAGCAGTAACAAAATGCCCTGAAGTGCAGATGTGCTTTTCCATTGCCTGTGGAGAGGCATATACTTCATGTGATACTTTCTTCCTTTTTTTCCTAAACATGCATAGTGTTACATAAAAGTCTAATTGTTAGGGATCCCAGTTTTCCTCTGGCAGAGTGAGATTGAAAGAAAACTGCCATTTTGCATACGACACTATGGTTTTATTTTTGATTAATTAGAACTGTGGCAACTGATGAGTATCTCTTTATGGGGAAAAAACATGGGTATAATTTTCCGCAGTATGCATGATTGCATGAGTGAGTGGTACAAAAGCTGGCATTTTTCTCCACTGTTGGCTATTGCAGTGGGTTACTGCCATTTATGGCATTTTTTTCAGAAGAGCAAACACATTCAGTACCAAAATCAGAAAGCAGATCGAACAGCTTTCAAAACCTCACACACTGGCAAAGCAAGATGTGCAATTGTCCTTGACAATTGCCTCCTTTTTCTGTTTCTCATGAGCTGCGGTAAGTGTCTTCAAACTAAACTGAATTCATATTTTTTCCAGGCATATAACAATCACATTATGGCATCAGATTGCATTCTGAACTTTGGCAAAGGAGTCAAAGTACTTTTTTCCTGCTAACTTTGCTAACAGTTTTCACTGAAGGAACTATTAACTGCCCAAGCACACCCCCAAATGCTGTGTTAGTGAGGTGAGAGCAAAAGGGGAGTGCCAGGTCTCCTGCTGA